AAATATATACAATCCAAGAGTTCGGTTGATGACTTTATGGCTTTATGTCTTTTACGATTTCAACACTAAAGTAAGAAAAGTAAAACACTTACTTTTTTAAATTTAATACCAAAATAAAAGAAAATGAATTTTATCAAAATAAAATTAAGAAAAATGAAAGTACGAATTGGGTAAACTTTCCACAATGAATAAAAAGGAAAACAACTTTTAATTCAAACTAAATAGGCTGCATAAACTGGATTCCTTTGAAAAGAATACCATCATTTGGAGTATATATTGTTCTTAAACAGCTCTTATTCAAAAAAACAAAAAGTATTTGCACAGGATGATATAAAATTTCCCCAATAATTAAGTAAATGACAAGATTATACCTTCGTCTAATAATATATTTAAGGAATAAACACACATTTTACTTGGATTTTATTTTGCTTTAATTTAAAAGATTTTGCTTTAAATTATAGTCCATTAATTAGATAAATGATAAGATTTTATGAAAATTCACTTTAAATTAATGTATTAGACTTTTATTGCATAAATTTATAAACTTTTTTTTTGGCATGACCTTTCTTGAGTTTATATATATAACTTATATAACTTAATAATCTATGAACCTAAAGAATAAGAAGCACTTCTTAAACATATCAAAATTTTGTGTATTTAGACATGATCAATCAAACGAAAGTGAGTTTTGTGCTCATCATTCTAAACATAGCCGCGATAGTCACCGAAAGCGAGTTTTCTGATACTCATGATGCTAAAATAACTAGACTTTTGAAGAAACTCAATAAACCTGCTCTTAAATCTATTAAGGTTAATCAAATTCGTGGGCTATATGAGAATAACAAGACATATCTACTCTCTTTTGTTTCTTCATTTTTGGAAGCTTTTAACCTTTAGTTGTGTATGTTTTGCAATCCTTGTGTAGAGTCCAGATGGAGATATTATAGATTGTGTTCATATGAAGAATCATCCCATTTATGATCATCCTTTATTTAAAAATCACACAATCCAGGTTTGGAAAACTTTTTTTAATTATATATTTTTGATGTTATTATTACTCTTCTTAAACATAAAATTCTAGATTTTTTTCATTTAAAACTAAAATCAAACCTTAGTTTAATAATACTTGTGATAGATCTAAAAATGTCACTCATCTCAAAATTCGGATCAGTAACATTGAAACAAATCTTCACATATGGTTCAATTAACTATGTTTGGGTTAATATATCATATGTTCAATCAGCTATACTTTTATTGTAACACTGCCATGTTGTAGATGAGACCAAGTTCTTATCCGAAAGGATGGAATAATGAACCTTCATACCAAACAAAGGAAAATTTAGTGACTCAACTATGGACAATCAACGGAAAATGCCCCAAAAATAGTATTCCGATAAGAAGAACAACAAGAGAAGATATTTTACGAGCAAAATCGATCGAAAGATTTGGAAAAAAAAACCTCCAACAGGTTTACTCAACCTAGTCCAGTGAATTCGACTAGTAACGACGGCATACATGAGGTGCATTTCTATATATCATTCAATAAGAATTTCAAAGCGATCAATTTCCTTTTTCATACATGTTAATATATGTGTTTTCATAATTTCTTAGTACGCAATACTTGAAGTACATGGAAAATTTCATGGAGCCAGCTCAATAATAAACGTGTGGAAGCCTTATGTACGAACGGCAGATGAATTTAGCCTAGCACAAATATGGCTTGTGGCAGGCCCTCCTGGTGACGAACTTAATGCCATTGAATTTGGTTGGCAGGTATTACTTTCTTCTTGTAGATACATCTTAATATATATAATTATATTCTTATTTTCTTACATTCTTCGGTTTTTATTGTTACTAATTAGGTGTACGAAGGCAAATATCATGATAATAACCCTAGATACTTTATCTTTTGGACTGTGAGTTATTGCATATAATACTGTTTTGATTTTTGATTTTGATTTTTTTTGGTTAATATATGTAATAAGAAAGGATTGTTTTTGGGGCTGATTTGGTAAAATCTAAACAGGCTGATGGTTACCGGACAGGCTGTTACAATTTTGATTGCGATGGATTTGTTCTTGTCAGCCGAGAAATTGCTTTAGGTGGAGCAATTGCTAACGTTTCGACATTAGGTGGTCAACAATATCAGATTCCTGTATTTATATGGAAGGTCAATCTAACTTATTTTCACCATATTATTTCAACAAATACTATGGTAATTTATAACTAAGAAATAATGTGTTATATTATTATAGGATGTGCAAACAGGAGATTGGTGGTTGAAACTTTATTATACTATATTTGTTGGGTATTGGCCTTCCTCATTGTTCACCCATCTACGAGATAGTGCATCTATAATTGAATGGGGAGGCGAAATATTAGATTTTAAGGAGGATGGAAGACACACAACAACGAGAATGGGAGGTGGATATTTTGCACAAGAAGGTTTAACAAAAGCTGCTTATTTCAAGAATCTCGAGATAGTTGATGAACATAATATTTGGAGAAGAAATGAGGGAGGTCATACTATCATGACGCAAGAGAGTTGTTACAATATCCAATCTGCTTATCATGATATTTGGGGGAATTTCTTTTATTACGGCGGTCCTGGTCGAAATCAAAATTGTATGTGATTACATATAAACATATTATAGATTCAACTATGTCGTATATGAGTCGTTTATGTCATTTACCATTGTCATATAATATCTATATGATGGTGTAAATAAATTTAAGAGATAATTTCAATATAAGAGAATATATAGTCAAGATTGTTTCTTGTCATCAATTTATTTTATTAATAGAGAAATATAACTCCATACAAAAAGATACAACGTATGGTTTCTTAGAAATTTAATACCCATTAAAATATAACATTAAAATACACTCTCATTTGAGTAAGAACCCAAAATCAGATAAGATAAGTTTTATCATATAGAACTTCAAACACATATTACAAATGACCTTATAATCACATAGAATATTACCCAAATGAAACTAAACTGGAGACTCCAATTCTATCCGGTTGAGCTGGTTAAAACCATTAAGTGGTCAAGGGCCTTAGGATGATAACTCTTCTAATCCTAATAATAAAAAAAGATCGATGAAAATTAAAAAGAGTAAGCCAATTAGAAACTGAGGTACTTCTTTCTTCTTTGGATCCAAAGAAATAATATACTCCCAAAAGTAGAATGCCTACTTGGTGAATGCGACATGAAGCACATGTGGAAGCTAATACAGAATTTTTTCTTCTCACGTGTCTTTTTTTTTTTTTGATAACCGAGTGTCCTGGCCCCACCGAGGTGGTCCAGACTAGAGACCGAACCCTTACGGCACGGACGCACACCCGAGGGTGGGTCATGGCCAAGTAACGCTCACGTGTCTTTTTCATACAAAACTTCATGATTGTCTCTCCGCTTACACTTGTCTTAAAAAAAGCCAACGCTTAGCGTACCACAAAGATTATGTTCTTCTGAATTCTTTGTTGGCATGAAGAATTATCATGTTGCTCTGCGAAAAAGGGTCAACATAAAGTTCAAACCCAAACAATTTTCAATAAAATCATATGCCAAAAAAGCTTAAAATTGTAAAGCAAAAAGAAATCTATTTAACTTCTTCTCCTACAAACACATGCACGCTCATTATCATGCATATTCAAACTATGAGAGATGAGTAGAAACGTGAGTAATTGACTCGCGTTAGTGAAATGGATCTATATTTAGAAAAAAATCACAAAAGTAAGGCACGAAGTCTTCTTTTACTTTCAAATTTTAAGTTTTCTCCTTCATTTATTTAAACGGCATCGAATTAAGAAATTATGGGCAAATTTCAATAAAATCAAACCAACCTCTAAACCGGACGATTTGATCGTCTAGGCCGCGATTTTAGCGGATTTAAAGCGCCTAGACCGAACCACCGATTTGATCGTCCGATTATAAGAAAATCGCGGCGCATGGACCTTAACGAGCGCCTAGCCCGATTTTTTGAACATTGGTGTTGGCAAACTAAAACGACCATCAACGACCGTCGTTTTATTACTCGGAAATGTTACATATCCTTTTCATGACACCTTGTCATCTGAATCAACCAAAACACATGATGACTAACTAGCAGTGACCACTTGATCGAGCAATCATGTGCCTACTGACCAAGCCTCCCATTTGTGTTGATGGGTCATCCGGGATGACAAAAAGTGTTTGGCTGAGACCTTATCAATCAATTGACCAATAAGCATTAGTTTCTATAGCCACTTATGAGTTATGAATAAGACCAAACATTTCTGCTTTCTAAACCTACATTTGATTTGATCTAATCTCCTTTCCACATCACAAAACAAAAATATGTAACTATAGTTATAAGTTATTAACTTACATATAATGATATAAACAATGTATTTTTTTTAAGTCATTGTTTTTTGGATTGTTGAATTGATAAAGAAATTCATGAAGATTCTGTATGGATTTGGAAAGAACTGAAACTGCGAACTTTAAAACTCTATTCTGACTGCAATCGCTAACCAGAGAATACTAGAGAAAATATCAAAGAATCAGTGAAATTGTTTCAGCTACTATTGAACTAAACGAATACAGAGATCAATGAGCTTGAAACATACCCACCTGAGCACAGAAAGGAATGAGCTTGAAACATACCCACCTGAGCACAGAAAGGAAGAAGCAAGAAGAAGAAAACAAACTGTGGAATCATACTCTAATTCTATGTGAAACAACATAAGAACTAACTATATCTACACATTTCATAACTTAACTTAAAAAGTCAGTTGGCAAATATAAAACAGAGTGAAAACAGACAGGAGCAGCTATGCCATAACCACTAGAAACTTGTAGGCAGTGTTTTTCATGTTCTGATGTAATTAGGTTCATCAAACTAGCTACTTCAGGATTTTAAAACTAAAGATACTAATCCATGCTCCAACTCACCACAAGTTCCTGTCACCAATGAAAAATCGAAAGAACTTCAGCCTAATCCTAACGGTAAGTTTTAAAGAACTCCAGTTCCAATCGACTAAACGCTACATAACCAATAAACCAAAGTAAGACAAATTCACATGTTCCTAACTCACCACAAGTTCATGTCACCACTAAAAATCGACAGAACTTCAGCTTAATCGTAAGGGTAAGCTTCAAAAGGATAATTCAAAAACACTTCATAACCTAATGGTAAGTTGCATAGAGACACTAATAGTCACCAAAGCAAAGATGCAAATGTGTTGAAAGAAACTAAAAACATTCCCAAAGACATAACCCGATGATACTAACCGCAATTACACAATAAACGCCACAAAACAAACAATGTGTCAAGCAAAAAAACAATCCTAACCACTCAAAATTGACAACAAAACAAAAAAGGTAAACAATCTACCAACAAAGATAACACAGAAGGAATCAGATTTTGCATAATGATGAAATATCAAATCCCACAAAGCCAAAACCAAGCAACAAAATGAAGACACTTACTCATATTAAGGAAGAAGAAACATCTTCAAACATCCATAACACCAAATTCCACAAGTCATCACCATCATCATCATTACAAGAACACAGATCTCAATCTAGCATAAGCAAAACCCTAATAAACAGATTATAACGAAAGATAATTTCAAGCCTCACTCTTCTCCTCCTCTGAAACAGGACCTGCATCATCTTTAGAAACCTCACTACCATCAGTATTCTTATCCTCCACACTTCCATTTCCATCATTACCATTAGATCTAGCCTTAACAGATTCAAGCATCCTCTTACTAATCTCTTTAGAATAAACCTCAAGAATCTTAATCCCATCATCATCACTCACCACAGCGTTCGAAGCAACACCATAAGCCTCTTCTTCGATAGATTTCGCGACAGTGTTGGCTTCATCAGATTTAAGAGTTCCGTATCTCTTAGAGAGGATAGATTCGGTGGATAAAGTCTCGATTAAGCGATTCAAGACGGCTTCGCGAGTTTTCTGAGTCGGTGGCCAGATTCGGAGAGAGATTCCTCCGGGTTTCTTCTCTGATTCGGCTTCTTTCGTCAGATCTGTGTCTTTTGAGGCTACTTCTTGAGATGTTGGGTCTGTCATTGTGGATAATGTGGTGGAGCTTTCGGATTCCGGTGGCGGCGATGAGATCGTGGTGGTGATTGTATCGGCGGTTTCTGCCATTTTTCGAGTGAAGTTGAATTTTAGGGATTTTTGAGATTTTTTTTGGAAGGATCAGTTTATGACTTTAGATATTATTGGTTGGTTCGGTGTTATGTATAAATAATTAAATAACCGAAAATACAGGAAATGTTTGAAATTTAAATTATTTCGTGGAAAAAAATAGGGGAAAAAACCCGAAAAAACCGCCATCTAATTTTTTTTTGGCCGTTTAATATCTGTAGTATTAAATTTGGAATAAAAATACCTCATTTAATTTTGGTTGCCTTTTAAAACCTTCGTTTTTTAAAAAATGGTAAAATCGAACTTCCGAGTTAACGACCGTTAACTTTGTTAACGGAAACACTAACTGTGGTTAAAACTTAACCCACGGTGTTTCAGTATATATATAAAATCTCTTTAAAAGTTTACGTGTATATCGTCTTGGTCAGGTGGTTAAACTTGGGTTGCCTTCCTATTGAACTTGAGTTCGAGTCCCCCCTAAAGACGTTTTTAATTTTTTTTTTTTTTTTTTACTTCATCTTCTTCGTCATCTAAAAACCAGATGTCTTCAGTTTCTTCTGATCCATTTGATCGACAGAATGGGTGGGAAGATGGAGTGAAGTTAGTTTTTCGATGGCTTCTAGAACCAGAAACGGTTTGCCGGCTCTCGATTTTATACCCGCATCTGATCGAAGTTTCATTTTAGTGCCCGCTTTCTCTTAGCCCCATTTTTCTATTTTGTTTCTAGATGACAATTTTTGTCGATCTCAAATTACATAACTTAGTCGAGATCTGATTCACATGCGTTACACTAAGATTAATTTGTGAGCTTCAAATGCGGATCTGAGATTTTGTGGACACTTCTGGGTAGATCTAGTTTCCGGAGAGAGATCGAGAATTGCTTTTGTTTTATTTCCAGATTTTGTTGAATAGTAGGAGAATAAAACAAAAGAGAAGTTTATGATGGATTTGCTCTGAGTTTCTGGGTTTAGGATTTGGTCTTGAAGGCATTGTTCAGTAAGAGAAGAGGAAGACAAAAGAGAAGAGGAAGACAAAAGAGAAGAAGAAGAAAAAAAAAATTAAGAAAAAAATTTAAAAACGTCTAAAAAGAACGATGGGGGATTCGAACCCACGTTATGTAGAATAGTTAACACACGCTTTACCATTTGACGAAGACAGTATATACGTAATGCTTTGAAAAGAGATAGTATATATATAGTTTAAACACCATGGGTTAACTTTTAACCACAGTTAGTGTTTCCGTTAGCAAAGTTAACGACCGTTAACTCGGAAGTTCGATTTTACCATTTTTTTAAAAACGAAGGTTTTAAAAGGCAACCGAAACTAAATGAGGTATTTTTATTCCAAATTTAATACTACAGGTATTAAACGGCCAAAAAAAAATTAGATAGCGGTTTTTTCGGGTTTTTTCCCAAAAAAATAGAGTCAATTAGCTGCAATAATTAGGTGCGGCATACACAAGTTTTTTTCTTTGCAAAACAAGAGAGAGAAATATTTGCTTTCAAAAAAACAAGACGAAAATACCCCTGAAATAAAATGCGGGAGTTTTCCCTCTGAGAATTTCGTAAGGGACAGGGATATCATGCAATATTCTGTGGGCTCCCACTTATTTAATGCTCGCAGAGATAGTGTGTTGCAACCGTAGTGGACCACCACTTATTAAATGCATGTATCGATAATATATTCTGCTATGCAATTACGTATCGTGATATCTTGTTTTTTATCGGATACATGGATATATATCTTACATCGTAATATTTCAGTAATGTTGTTTACATATGATATATCTCTATAGATATATCACTATATTTCCCGATATATCATTATATATCATGAGATGATATGATATTTCACTATATATCATGATATAGCAATAGATTTCATGATATATCTATATATATCATGATATCTCAATATATAATATGCTATATGTTAAAATATCGTGATATATAAATATATATCATACATCGTAATATTCTATTAATATTGTTCACATATGATATATCACTATAGATATATCCTGATATATCACTATATATCATGATATAATATGATATTCACTATATATCATGATATAACAATATATTTCATGATATATCAATATATATCATAACATATATCATGATATCTCGATATATAATATGATATATATTAAAATATCGTGCTATATAAATATATATCAAGGTTTATAAATATATCTCAAGAACTAGATTTGTTCTTAGCGTCGTCGGTTGACGGTGTCTCAAAATCATCTCTAACAAAAGCTCAATAATAACGAACGACACCACATTTGTGACGTCTTGGTATCGAGAGTTCTATGAGGTTCATGGTATGCATTTTGATCAGAAAAATCTAATCAATTTAATGAATTTAGAATATCATAATTCAGGATACAATCAATTTTAAGAAAATTAGAAAGAGTCATAGGGAGTGTTTCATAAAGTAAAGAAAAAAAAAAAAAAGAATTGAAGAGAGAGAAAGCGAAAGAAAAGAAGAAGGAAGAAGAAAGCAAATAAGAACAAATGATGCGTTTGATTTGAGGGATATTATTGTCTTTTCTCCATGTTTTCAAAAGACCCATTATTTACGAACGTACCCCTTTTCCTTTGACTTAAATATTTTGTGGTCTTAGGGTATGTAGTGTAATTACTCAAAAAAATACAGTAAATATAAATACTTCAGTTATAATTTAAAATTACGTTGAGAGTTTTGAATTAATTCAAAATAAGTAAGGTAACTTTTAATTTTTTCTAACAAATTACTTTCGTACTTATCTTTAATTTAGGTAATCAAATTATTTTCTTACACAATCAAAATATTTTATTACAAACTTATCTTTAATCTTTCTACATCAAGTGAAAAAAAAATATAAAAAATATAGAGAGAGTAACTTACTTGCATACAAATTTATTTTTAAATGTTTTTTCTTACAACTATGATGTTTTTTTTTTTTGGTAAGAACAACTATGATGTTTTTACACATTTTTTGTAAATCGTATAGAAGAAGATTTTAAGCCTTGGCCTAGCAAAAGAGATTAAGCGATAAGCATGTTGCTTCTATTTAAAAAGAATTTTCAAGATCCAAAGAATAGTTGATTTTTTTTTTTTAATTTAACGTTAAATTATATTCAAAAAAAATAAACGTTTATACATAAGAATGCAAACTTTTTAAAAAAATTTCCAAAGAGATTCTATCTATGACATTGTGTCGATGCAAACCATATTTGAATCCTACTGACATATCTTTCTTCACCTCCTCGTCTTAGTGTTCACGCGGTTTCTAATGTTCTTATCTATCATCTTGACAATCTTCTTCGTTGATGAAGGTTACGTTGCTCACCATGCCTCATGTCATTTCTTTCTCTTCAAAAAGAGTGAATCGTGTACCGAAAAACATATCCGAGTATAAATGTTTTTCGTGTTTTCAAGATCTTTACTAGCGAGTACCTGCATAATCTCTAGCCATCTTGCCGAGAATTTGTCTAAGAGAATCCCACTTGCCAGCTCCTCCCATACCTTCCCCGAGTAAGGGCATAGAAAAAATAAGTGCTCCCTCGTCTCCATAGGGTCTTTACAAAAGATGCAGCTCGTGTCCGCATTTTGCTTCCATTTAACCATTCCCCTGCTGCAACTCTGTTTTTCATAATTAACCAAGTAACAAGTGCATACTTTGGAGTGGCGTTTGAAAACTATATCTCTTTATGCCCTTACATCACAGGTTTAGCGATGCGGATTTGTGACCACGTCTCTCTGGAGAAAAACTTGTTGCGATAGGATCCACTTTTTCCTTTCCAAAGTGCTATATCTGATTCTGTTTCCAGCCTCTTTGCCTCTGTTTTCACAGATCATCTTCAACAAGATTTAAAAAATTCTGTCGATGCTTTCTTTTCCGAGTTTTCTTCATCACTTCATTAAGCACGGTCGCTTTCGGAATTCCCAAATCAATGCAGCCACGTTCCCCTAATTTCAGAAAAGTTGAATTTTATGGAAATTGTTTTTTGTTAATACATTATAGATGTTGGATCTTTTGTGAGCACGAATAAACAATTGATTTTTATTTTTATTTTTGAGAACTATTTAGCAATCAAATCAGAAAAAAAAGTAATGTGATTAGACAGAGGATCGAATGAACATGAGGATGATGAGTAAGATTAGTTTCAAGTCTAGTTAAAAGGTGATCTATATTTGGTGGGCTTAGTAGAAGAGATTAGAAAACACTGTCTTTAGCGTGAAGTGTATGCAACTGGATTCATTCATCATGTTATCAATTTATCATGCATATTTTCTTTGAATATGTCCGTTTTTCTGGCTACAACATGTATTTGGTCTATTTTTTCCTTTGAATCATTTTTTAAAAAGCAATCAAAAATAAAAAAGCAATCAAGAGTTATGTACATAGGAATATACATAATCAATATCTCAAAACCGAGTTTTGGCATAGTCGAGATCAATATAGTAAGATTTTAAAAAATTGACTGCAACATGTTTCAGTGGATGCGATTACAACTAGGAACACACAAAAAAAAATCGAAAACAATCACGATTTAAAAAAAAATAAAAAAAATGTGTCAACATTAAAAAAAACAAACTAAAACTAGTTAGTTCAAGATAAAAGCATAGTCTAATTCAAAGAAAAAAAATGTACATTTAACATAAATTTTTTTAATTATAAGATTATTTAAGTAAATTTAAGAATCTTAAATTATAATTTATCAAATGTCTCCATAGGGACAAAATCAGATTTGTTGTTTTTCAATAGAACCACCACGGCAAAACCCAATCTTTACCGGTCAAAAACATTTTCAGACAAAAAATCCGAAAAAACAGAAATCACCCGCCAAACAAATTTCAGATAATTTTCGCACCTCCAAAAATTTATAGTTGACTCCCAAAAAAACTCAAAAATCCCAAACTCCAAAAAATCACAGAGAGCGCCACAAACTTGAGAAATGGCGCTTTTGCTCTTCCCTTTTTCTTCCCCTTCTCACCTCCTCTTCTTTCACTCATCCCATCTCTCAATCTCTCAAACTCTCTCTTCCTCTCTCTCTCTCTCACTCTCTCTTCAATCTCAATTCAACCATGACAGAGCAAGAGATCTGCGTGAGGGTTACGAGAGCGGCTGCGAAGAGAAAAGCGATGGGTATTGACGAAGATCGTGTCAGCAAGAAGAGAGTTGTTCTTGGTGAGCTTCTAAATGTCTCCAATGTCAAGGTTTTAGCTAATCTCAATCAGAAGAGAAAAACCCAGAAGCCAAAAAAGAGTCTTGGAGCTCCGGCGAAACAGATTAAGTCAGCTCCGGTGGTTATTGACCTAGAATCAGAATCTGACATTGATTCTCGATCTGATGATCCTCAAATGTGTGGACCTTATGTCAGAGACATCTACGAATATCTTCGTGAACTGGAGGTAATAATCTTGTTACATTGCTCTGTGTTTTGGTCTTAGAACATTGGTTTAGTTTCAATTTTAAGTTGTGGGATTGGATCTGAATAGTTTGAATTGGATTTGGTGAATTCAGGTGAAGCCAAAGCAAAGACCTTTACCTGATTATATTGAAAAAGTTCAGAAAGATGTAACACCAAGTATGAGAGGTGTTTTGGTTGATTGGTTAGTGGAAGTTGCTGAAGAGTATAAACTTGGATCTGAAACACTTTATCTCACTGTCTCGCATATTGATAGATTCTTGTCTTTAAAGACTGTTAACAAGCAAAGGCTTCAGCTTGTGGGAGTTTCTGCAATGCTTATCGCTTCGTAAGTGTTTTTGATCTTCTTCTTGTATTGTTGTCATTGTATTTTTGTGAAAGCTTATGGTATCTTCCTCTTATAGGAAGTATGAAGAGATAAGTCCTCCTAAAGTGGATGATTTTTGTTACATTACGGATAATACGTTTACGAAACAAGATGTGGTGAAGATGGAAGCGGATATACTTCTCGCGCTTCAGTTTGAGTTAGGAAGGCCGACGATTAATACTTTTATGAGGTTAGAATTGTGTTTTTGGTGATAATACTTATTGGTTGTCTTAGTTCATTGTTCTGAGTTTGTGTGTGTTTATGTTGGTGTTTGTGTAGACGGTTCACAAGAGTTGCACAAGAAGATTTCAAAGTGCCACATTTGCAGCTAGAGCCTCTCTGTTGCTATTTATCAGAATTGAGTATATTAGATTACAAAAGTGTGAAGTTTGTGCCGTCTCTGTTGGCTGCTTCTGCTGTTTTTCTCGCTCGATTCATTATCCGTCCCAAACAACATCCTTGGGTAAGCATTTTTGTCTCAGTCTCTTTCAGGTTTTAGTCTGTTTTGGTCATTGTTTAGAATGAGACACTAATGATCTATGGTTGTGATGATGTAAACAGAACCAAATGTTAGAAGAATACACAAAGTATAAAGCGGCTGATCTACAAGTGTGTGTTGGAATCATACATGACTTGTATCTAAGCAGAAGAGGAGGTGCTCTACAAGCTGTTAGAGAGAAATACAAGCACCATAAGGTACTTAACATTACAATGATTAAATACTTATTGATGGAATCATTTTAGTTAGCATCATTCTTGAATCTTGATACTTATACTGTTGCTTCTTCTCGGTACAGTTCCAATGCGTTGCGACCATGCCTGTTTCACCAGAACTGCCGGTTACCTTTTGGGAGGATGTTACCATTTGATCTGAACCAATCCTTCTTTTGGCTGAGGTTATGCTATCTTTGGCAAATGTTACGGTGCTCGATTACCGAATCTTGTTTCAAATAGTATAAGGGACACAGATCAACAAGTCAAGCTAGAAGAGTAAGAACTATAGTAGTGAAGGCAGGAGCAGATAAGTTTGTGTTATGTGAAGATGTGTGGTGTGTTGTTGGGATCTCATTTTGTTTACAAAATTAGTGTGTAACTCCGAATAATATAATTTTATACAATTATGCAATATGATATAAGTATTTATGTGATATGATCTTATTTTGTTAAAGCATTGAGCCTCCTATGATATTATTTATGAAAGTTCTGATAAGGCTAAAACTCTAGAAGCCATTGTTGTAACATTAAAGAAACTAATGACAATATCGAAGAAAAAAAAACCAAGAGATTGATAATCATTTTTACAAAATAGAGACTAAACTCGGGAAATAACAAACAACCAAGTGGTGGTGGTCCAGTGGTTTCCACTTGCAGAGGAGCGACTCTGTTGGTCCAGGCCAGGGATCGACTCCCTGCAAGCGCGACACTCCTGGATTTTACCCCATTTGGCCACTGCCACGCCCTTAGCGATGGGATAACGTGAACTTGGTATGTAAGGCCACCAGGACCACACTTGAGGGCAATGCCCAATACGGTGCTAGTCGGGACCACCAGTGGTGGGGCCCGGACAACCTGGTTAAAAAAAAACTTTAACAAAAAAAATAATAACAAACAACTCGTGTCTCTGTCTCTGAATAACGAATTGAATGATTAAGAATGGAGAGAGGAGCCACCATTATGTTTTACTTATACAGCTATACACCAAACCAATCATTGAGTCATAACTATGGCGCCCTGAAGGCTTTGGTATCAAACGTGGGATGGCGGCTTATGCACGACAATACAAGCCTTTGGGCTTAGGTGTTGCGGTCGAAGTATAAGGTGGGAGGGCTCCAGGATCAAAGCTGGCTGGCAGCTAAACGACCAGGTTCCTCGACCCGGAGAAGTGTGGTGGTTGGGCTGCGGGATGTGGGCCCTTCAGGGAAGTAGATGGGTGCTTGGTGATGGCCGGGAAATACGGGTTTGATCAGATAAGTGGCTATTTAATTTGCCACTGACAGAAAAGGCGATTACGGAGTTACCAAGTGGTTATCAAGACTTGCGGGTAAAGAACCTATGGAGAGAGGCCCGTCTCAATATATAATTGGGTCTATGGCAAAACCAAAAAAAAATCTAAAATCTCTTAGTAAAATTTTTCTTATAATAATAAATAGGCCTTTATTCATAGAATTTTTTTTAAAATTAATAATGGACCCATGGCATTTACCTAATCTGCTGTGGGGTAGAGACGGGCCTGAAGAGATGGAACCGGTCGGATTCTAGAAGAGATTATGCCGAACACGAGACTAGAATTGGCAGCGGTGGTGCTTGACAACGTGACATGTGCTAGGGACAGATTATCATAGGGGGAGTCCGCCAAATTGGAAATTTACGGTGAAATATGCTTATAATTTGCTAATAAAGAACCAATCTCCACGACAGAACATGGCAGGTTTCTTTGATCTCATTTGGAGAGTGACCGCACCGGAGAGGGTTAAGAGTTTCTTATGGCTACTTGGGCATCAAGCCATCATGACTAATGTGGAACGGTTTAGGAAGCATCTTGGGGAGACGAATGTTTGCCAGGTTTGTAAAGGAGGTGAAGAGACAATCCTACATGTTTTGAGAGATTTTCCATCTATTGCGGGGATGTGGAATCGTATTGTTCCAGTACGTAGGAAGAACGAATTCTTTACAACCACATTACTTGATTGGCTTCACCGGAATCTGGGTATAGTGGCAGGAGGGGAGGAGTGTGAATGGTTGACAATGTTTGCGATCGGGGTTTGGTGGGGATGGAAATGGGTATGTGTTTGGTGAGAACGGTAAATGTAGAGATCTAGTTAAGTTTGTCATTGATTTGGCAAAAGAAGTACACCGGTCTACTGAACTGAACCGACCCGGGAATGAAATGGGGTGAGGGTTGAAAAGATGATAGCTTGGAGACCACCAGAGGGGGTGTGGTGGAAACTGAATACCGACGGTGCCTCTCGCGGTAATCCAGGCTAGGCTACGGTGGACGGTGTGCTAAGAAATTATACGGGTCGTTGGTGTGGAGGGTTTGCCTTCAATATTGGTGTGTTCCGCTATATTAGCGGAATTGTGGGGAGTTCACTATGGGCTCTATATCGCGTGGGGCGGGGGGAGGAGGATTACGTGTTTGGAGATGAAAGTAAACTCGGAGTTGGTGGTTGGTTTTCTAAAATCAGGGATTAGTGATACGCCATGTCGTTCTTGGTACGTTTGTGCCATGACTTTCTTTCTAGGGACTGGATAGTCCGGATTTCGCATGTCTATACAGAGGCTAACCGTCTTGCCGACGGGTTAGCAAACTATGTTTTTACATTGCCTTTAGGGTTTCATATGTTAGATTCAGCTCCAATTTCAGTGGAGACTATTGTTTTGGAGGATGATCGCGGAATTGCGTTTCCAATGTTAATCCGAATGTAATTTTCTTTATTTTTTATTAATAAATTGCAGGGTTTCTCACCAAAAAAAAAAAATCATAACTCCAACTAGGAATAGTTGAAAAATATATAAGGTAACGTTGATTAGTACTAAAATAAGCAAACCAAATCGAATAATAATTCGGATTTCTAAGTCACAATTTTCTCCAAAAAAAAAAAAAAAAAACACACACCCAAATTACAAATTTTAGATTCAAAAAAGGCAATTATGTTTAATTACTGTTTTGAGATTTTTAATCAAGTAAATAAAAGGCAAGTTCTCTAAGTTAATCCTTTTTGGAAATATATGTTTTTGTTTTCCTTTTTTGAATGACTTGGGTTTAATTTTCCTTTTTTGTGAGTCTGTCGTCTGAATTCTGAAACCTTTTTGTTTTAGGATAGAGTCTACTCTATAAATAGAGACTTGGTGTAAGATTCATCGTTGTTCTTTGCAAGATTTCTTCTTCTTCTTCGACAAATATGCTCACTGAGAAAAACAAACAGTTTCATGCCAACCATAACGCTCAAGGTGCTTCCCCGGCAGAGTGGGCGGAGATTCGACATAGGCTACTTGCGATGCAAGAGAACATTCAATCAGGCTCTGACATTGACTCTAGGTCTGATGATCCACAGATGTGTGGACTTTATGTCTCAGATATCTACGAGTATCTCCATGAATTAGAGGTAATAATCTCTTACTTGCTCTGTTTTTGGACTTAAAACTTTGACTAGTTTCAATATAATTTGTGGATTTGTTTTGGTGAAATTCAGGTGAAGCCAAAGCTAAGACCTTTAGATGATTATATGGAAAAGGTTCAAGAAGAAGTAACACCAAGCTCGAGAGGTGTTTTAGTAGATTGGTTAGTGGAAGTTGCTGAAGAGTTCGAACTCGGGTCTGAAACACTCTATCTCACTGTCTCTTACATCGATAGATTCTTGTCCTCAAAGACTGTCAACGAGCAAAAACTTCAGCTTGTAGGAGTTTCTGCAATGTTTATCGCTACGTAAGTGTTTTTGATCCTCTTTTTATTACTCTCTTTACTATTCATTGTCATGTTGAAACTTATGGAGTTTCTTCTTCTTTTGATATTTGATATAAATAGGAAGTATGAAGAGAAACGTCGCCCTAAAGTGGAAGATTTTTGTTACATTACGGCTCATACATATACGAAAGAAGATGTGTTGAAGATGGAAGAGGAGATACTTCTCGCGCTTGAGTATGAACTAGGAAGGCCTACGATCAATACTTTTCTAAGGTTAGAATTGTGATGACAACAATCTGTTTATTGATAATTGTATACTGATTTGGTTGTCTCTTATGGTTCATTGTTCTCATGTTGTTTGTGTTTGTGCAGACGGTTCATAAGGGTTGCACAAGAAGATTTCAAAGTGCCAAACTTGCCGCAGTTAGAGCCTCTTTGTTGCTATCTATCAGAACTAAGTATGTTAGATTATAGTTGTGTGAAGTTTGTTCCATCTTTGTTGGCTGCTTCTGCTGTCTTTCTCGCTCAATTCATCATCCGTCCCAACCAACATCCTTGGGTAAGAATTTCTGTCTCAATCTCTCTTTTTCAGGTTAATATGTTATGACTTATGATGAGACACTAATAATCTATGGTTTGTAAAACAGAGTCAAATGTTGGAAGAATACACGAAGTATGAAGCAGCTGATCTACAAGTGTGTGTGGGAATCATGCATGACTTGTATCTGAGCAGAAGTGAAGGTGCTTCAAAAGCTGTTAGAAAGAAATACAACCAACATAAGGTAATTAACATTACACTTTATGAAATCATCTGAATTGGTAGGATTCTTTATACTTAAATGTTGCTTTTTTTTTGGTACAGTTCCAATACGTTGCGACAATTCCTGTCTACCAAGAGCTGCCGGTTACCTTTTGGGAGGATGTTACCATTTGATCAGAACCAATCTTTCATTTGGCAGATGTTACTGAGATCGATTACCATATCGCGGTCCGATAGCATAAGAGACAAAGATCAACAGTTGAAGCTAGATGAGTCATATCTTGAAGTGAAGGCAAGAGAAAATAAATTGTGTTGTGAAGATGTAATGTGTTATTTAATTTTTATTTTGTTTACAAATTAGTGTGTTACCCTGGAAATAATATAATTTTATATGTTTATGATTTATGCAATATGATATAAGTACTTGCGTGACATTATTTTATCTTGTTTAATCATTGAGCCTCCTATGATATAATTTATTAAAGTTCCTAGAAGGATAAGACTCTAGAAGTCACTAATTTTGATTTCATAAAAAGGCAATTTCTACAAGTGAATTTATTGGAAGACTTGGGTCTTGATCATATATGTTTCATGACAAAGTACATTTAGAGTTTGATCGGTTCTCCCACAATTATCTATTAACGCTATATTAGTACGAGTGGTTGCGGTTGCCAGTGTTTGATATCAATCACAAAAATCATTTTCCAATGTTTGGAATTGCCGAGATTTTAAAATCTTCTTCCTGCCAGCGATTATAGGCGATATAGGTGGTTAAATTTTCTTTTTTCTTTTTACTTACTAAATTTTTTTTCACAAACAATTTCTTATATTGAAGTTATATATTGATAGTTTTAATAATAATTTAGCTTATCAAGTATAGAAGAAGATATTCGAATTACCCATTCGATGATTTTGTAAATATTTTTTTTATGCAACATCATATTATATTTCCTTAATTATCTTACAAAGTAGAGCAAATGAATCCCAAAATTGCATGTCACTATTGTTTTCAGTAACATTTTCATTGATGAATTTAGTTAGATTAGTAAAAACAATGATCCAAAAAAATAGATTAGTAAAAACAGTGATAAAAAAATTTGAAGCAGCCCATACTTATTTAATTGATAAACTCTAACACGATTGACATTTGCTCTTAAAGTAATGAAACACAAAAATATCTTAAAATTACAATATATTGAAACTTTATAAGCAGTGATTTCAAATCCAGAGGTTATTTATTATATAAAAAAATTATTTGTTGTTACATAAAAGACCCGAACACAAAAATGATCTTTAATGTCTAAATAGTGATTTTATATAGCTAATTTATAAATACTCTACACGTATTATCCGAACTATTTTTAAAGATCAATTTCAAATGTAATTTTTTGTATCATATATATTTTATCCGATCCAATACTAAACCAAAATTTCTTTAAAATTTAACAAAGTACTTAACTTAAATCTGAATCTTAACCAAAACCAAAAAAAATCTGCATCTTTATTCTTTAATTAAAAGCTTCCAATGCTTGTTTTTTTCATCTTTAATTAAACAATGATGATTGTCTAATATAGGAATGAAATTTTTTGAAGGGTGAAAAAGAGGGCCGACAAAAAAAAAAAAGGGTAAAAAAGAGAAAACAGCCGCCAAATAAATGTGGAAATGAAATCTGCAAAAAAGCAAAAAGCCCCAAATTTTGGAAACTCAGTCAAATCCCTAAAAATTCGAAATCGAAATACAGAGAAGCGCCATGACCTAAAATCTCAAAATCACCAAAAACTTCCCCAACAAAAATGGCGCTTTTACTCTACCCATTTCCTCTTACCTTCTTTCTACATTACCCCTTTTCTCAAATCTCTCTTTCCCATTGAAAAAAACCATGTCAGAGAATCAGAGCTGTGCAAGGATGACGAGAGCGGCGGCGAAACGAAAAGCGTCGTCTATGGCGGTGGACGAAAACCCAGTTAGTAAAAAGAGAGTTGTGCTCGGAGAGCTTCCGAATATGTCCAATGTCGTAGCTGTTCCGGTTAAACCCAATCAAGAACGAGAGACCCTTAAGGCTAAATCAAGTGTTAATACCTCGAAGAAGCAGATGAAGAAGGCTTTGATGGTTCCTGTGGTTGTTCCTGAAACTAGCGTAGATATTGAATCGAGATCTGTTGATCCTCAGATGTGTGAGCCTTTTGCTAGTGATATTTGTGCTTATCTTCGTGAAATGGAGGTAAAAAACACATCTTTAGTAGATTTCTTGATTTCTCCATTTTTGTGGTATTTTGGGCATTGGGACTGTGTTTGGACTTGATATTGACTAGTTGCAATCATGGGTTTGATAAAACTTGTGGATTTGAGATTTTTCCAATAATAGTTTGCTCTTATTATATGTTTGGGAGAATTTAGGGATTAATGGTTATTGTTTTTGGATTGGTGAAATGCAGGGGAAGCCGAAACATAGACCATTACCGGATTATATTGAAAAGGTTCAGAGTGATTTAACGCCACACATGAGAGCGGTTTTGGTGGATTGGTTAGTGGAAGTTGCTGAGGAGTACAAACTTGTTTCGGATACGCTTTACCTCACTGTCTCCTATGTGGATAGATTCTTGTCTGTGAAGCCTATTAATAGGCAGAAGCTTCAGCTTGTGGGAGTTTCTGCAATGCTTATTGCGTCGTAAGCATCTTAATCCTCTTTGTTTATTGTTATGTTGGTGTGAGGATTCTTGGACTGTTGGCTAATGGAATCTTTATTTTGCTTTTAAAAAAGTAGGAAATATGAAGAGATAGGTCCTCCTAAAGTGGAAGATTTTTGTTACATCACTGATAATACATTTACAAAACAAGAAGTGGTGTCGATGGAGGCGGATATACTTCTTGCTTTGCAGTTTGAATTAGGAAGTCCAACCATCAGAACATTCCTAAGGTTCGACTCTGAAACAATCTGGTGTTTGTACTTGCTTCTGATTGTATGTTTTTTATAGTCACTTATGATTCCATGGTTTTACTTGTCCTCATTTTGATTGTTTTGCTCTTTTATGTCGTGTTTGCACAGACGGTTTACACGGGTTGCACAAGAAGATTTCAAAGTAAGCTCAAAACCTTTGAACTGTGGCATTTGCATCTTATAATGTCAATTGTTAAATCTTCCTTTTTTTTCATGCCTTTTCAGGAATCACTGTTGCAGATAGAGTTCCTATGTTGCTATCTATCAGAATTGAGTATGTTAGATTACACCTGTGTGAAGTATTTGCCATCTCTATTGGCTGCTTCAGCTGTATTTCTTGCCCGATTCATCATCCGTCCAAAACAACATCCTTGGGTAAGCAAATTAAGAAGCATGACAGTTTCTCTTACAGAAAAGTTCTTGTATTCTAAATCTCTTTTTTGTTATGTAAACAGAATCAAATGTTAGAAGAATACACAAAGTACAAAGCAGCTGATCTACAAGTTTGCGTGGGAATCATACATGACTTGTATCTAAGCAGAAGAGGAAACACTCTAGAAGCTGTTAGAAATAAATACAAGCAACATAAGGTAAATTCAACAATACAATGATGTAACTTCAACTTGTAATATGTTGCAACAACAACATTCTAGATTGTTTAACATCTGATTCTTTTGGTGTACAGTACAAGTGCGTTGCGACCATGCCTGTTTCACCGGAGCTGCCTCTTGCTTTCTTTGAAGATATTACCATTAGGGGAAAGGCATAAAAGAAGCTTGAAGCTTTATGTGTTGGAAATGTTAGTTGCCTGAATTTTGGGTTGTATATATCTCAATCTGTTATTAGAATGGCAGATTAGTATTGACTTGTATTCGAAGTTTTTTTTGCTAACATTAGTTAAGAAACTTCTCTTTTTGCTTGGCCATTATTTCAATGGTTATTAGCTCTTATTGATTTGTTTTCTGCTTTATTATATGACGTAATCATGTAAAAGCCTCTTTCAATTATATTGGAATGTGCACATCCTCTTAACAAAACAAAAAAAAAGTACAACAAAGACTTTGCCACTACATATTTGTGATGTTAACATTCACAAAAAGCTATGCTAAATAACTCTTTATCACCGCTTTGGTGTTTCCAATATGTATAGACTATAGAGGATGAAGTTGTTTACCGTATCTTCTTGACATGTAACAAGGCCTGAGGGCAGTTATTTTTGTGCAGCTAGCTATCGGAGACGGACACTCTTTTGGGAAGTTCTATGGAAGAGGAAGACCAAGGAGAAGGAAAAAAGTTGCTGTGTGAAATGAGGTAGACTATAAAGGCGATATAAGCAGTTGTCCAGACGCAGACCGTAACTCCAAACATAAACCCGTCAACTTCTGATACAAAGAAATCCAGCAGAAGATACCCATTGATGATCATTACAAGGGCAGCCACAGTCCAAGCTATTCTCTGCAATATAATCAAAAAAATCCTATCAACTTACAAATACTAGCTTCCTGATACTTTAGTCATCACTCTTCATGCTTCTCTATTCCATTTAAGGGGATTTCAATTCTAAATGATTACTAAGATAATTGCACAAACAGTGAAACTGAAAAACTCGAGACACCTATAATCGATAAGACTTAACACTAATTCACCTATTGTATCCTATGGAGGCTTATAACCAAGTGACCTTTAGTAAAAGAAGTTGAAATTAACCTGGAGAATAGGCCCAATCTTGAAGTCTCCCATAATTTCTTCTTTGGATACCAAGGTTAGAAGAGGCAGAAGAGCAAAAGGAATTTGTACAGACTGAAGCACATTGAGCCATTCATTCAAAACATCCAAGGAAGCTTCAGAAGTGTTGAATACGATTGCCACAATCATGGTTGGCACAATAGCACAGCTTCTTGTTATTACTGCCCTCATCCATTTCTTAAGCCGGAGGTTCAGAAAACCGCCCATTATAAACTGTCCAGCATATGTACCAGTTATTGTACTGCTCTGCCCGGCTGCTAACAACCCAATTCCCCAGATATAAAGAATTGGAAGAAGCCCACCTCCAAACTTTTCTTGAAGATACTGACCCGCATTAACTAGGCCAATGTTATTAGCTTTCTCAGTTCCGTAAAACCCCTTTGCAAAGACAGTAGTCACAAACAAGTTAATCATGAAGGAGATGAAAAGGGCGACGGATGACTCGATCAAATAGTAATTAAGCGCCTCTTGAACCCGTGATTTCCTCTTTGGATCGATTTTCCTCGATTGTACAAGAGCCGAATGCAAAAACACATTGTGAGGCATTATGACACAGCCAACAACACCTACTGCTTGCCTAATTGTCTTCGAGCTAAGTCTCGGTAGTAAAATACCTATACATGAACACAAAGATTGATTTTTAGGCAGACAAATCAAAGAAAAGAGAGTGAAATTGGAGAGAAAGAATCCGAAATCTTTACCTATCATAAGTTCTTTCCCACTCGGCTTGGTTTCACCAAACATCCAAGCAAAGGATAAACCCATTGTCGCGATCAAAACTGCAAAAACAGCTTCTAACTTCCTCACACCGTAATTCTCTAGAAACAAAAATAAAAAACTGTTTGCAACAGATTCATTAGCCAATTTTTCAAGAAAAAAAAAATAAGTTTCTTAATTCAGCTTAAATCACAGATCTTTAAACCAGTTTTCTACTGATTTTGTGAATTTGAATCTCAATATCTCTAAGATGATCCAAAATCTTTCGAATTCGGATCATCTTAGCCAAGTTTTTCGAAAAAAGAGCCAAAAGGAAAATGCAAATTTCTCAATTTCAGATTGAATCATAGATCTCTAAAACCAAGTTTCTACTGATCTAGAAGTTTCAAAATGATCCGAATTCGAACTCAATGTCGCTTAAGATGATCCGAATTCTTTCGAATTCAAATCATCTTACCAAAGTTTTCAAGAAAAAAATAAAGCCAAAGGAAAAGCAAACTTCTCAATTTAAGATTGAATCATAGATCTCTAAAACCAATATTCTACTGATTCTATGAACTCGAAACTATCAATAACGCTAAAGAACGCTTCGAGTATCGAAAAACTCACCAATCCGAAGCCGTAATAACAACACCAGCCCAAAGAGGCAAGACACCACGGCTAAGAATCTGAATAGCAATAGCACTACCAATAACCTCTTGAATATCAGCACCAATCAAAGCAAGTTCCGCCATAGACCAAAGCACATACCTAGCCCAAGTCGGATATTCATCACGACAAAGCTCAGCTAAATGACGACCAGTAGCAACACCAACTCTAGCTGATAACATCTGAATCAACAATCCCATAGCTGTTGCCCACATCAATAACCATAACAGAGAATAACCAGCGATTGCACCAGCTTGTAGATCTCCTTCTAAATTCCCTGGATCCAAAAACGCTATACTCATTAAGAAACCTGGACCGGTGAATAACCATAGTTTCCGCCACGAGAATGGCGGTGGTGAGTCTCCGGTTGTTGGATCGTCGGGAGATTCGAAATCGACGATTAGGATCTTTTCGTTTGATTCGAAAGCGGCTTCGGATTCGGAATCGGAGGAAGGGAGAGATTGAGGATGAGGAGGAGGAGGAAGAAGACGGTTAGCTTCTTCTTCTTCTTCAAGGTTCTCCTTGACGTCGTTTTCCATTGAGGGAGAGGGAATATTCGGTTAGAGTTAAATCGGAATATTCTGTCGGTGGTGGTGGTGGTGGTGGTGTCGTCGACGTACCTGAGAATGAATTTGGAGGGATAAAAAGAAGTTGCAAGACTCAGGCATTCTTCTTATTGTTATTGTCAGATACTTTTTTAAAAATAAATTAATGCGTTTCTTTTTCTTATCTTTTTGTGCAAATTCAACTTTATATTAATGCCTAAAAAAGATGAAAACTTTATGTTATTAATTTGCTTTGAAATGTGTATTAACAGATTTATTAGGTGGATGTTTTCGGACTGTGACATACCTAGTTTAGTGGGTTTTGTACTAGTGTTGTTGTCACAATGTCACATTGTGTTTATAAAGTGTGTTTTAAAATTTTAATACATTTTTTCTTTGGTAGCTAAATAGAGGAGATGAAAATGAGAGACGAATTTTAAATTGACTATTGCTATACGTCATAGAAAATTTAGATCCATTGCTTGATCACAATGTGTGAACCTAAACATTCCAAAACAAAAGTTTATTGAGTTTCTAATATAAGATTCATGATTACTTTTTTTAAGCTTCATGTATAACATATTTGATATGATTTTTATAACTCACATTCCAAAAAATTATGAGCAGAAAACCTCAACCATTTTTACGGTTTTTCCGTTTAGGAATAATAAATAAGTTGTCTAAATAAATAAGTTGTCTAAAAAAAGAAGTTGTCTAATTTGATCTCCCATCATTTATAGATACTAAAACCATTGATAAAATAATATCTTTTGAATCCCAAAATTTTATGCGGATGCAATGCAAATTATGCAATTTTAATCTCCTCATTCGGAATATCCTTTACTAGAAATTAGTTCATTTCATTAGAAATAATTGGTTTACATGTTTAAGTTACTGAAAACTTTCTTGAAGTGAATAAATCATGAAAATAATTTAGAGACTATTTACTCAATCCCTTCATAATTTGTGATATAAAAACAGTTATTATTATTTTTGTCTTGTTTAATAGAAACATGAAAATAATTGGTATTTTATCACCTTCTTTTAACCATATATTTATACTCTTTGTTTCCAAACAAATAACACAACATTTTATCAAAAGATTTCAAATTAGCAATCTAATAACATCTGACTTCTTTTAGATATCTATAAAATATAAATCAATCTCTTACCTCCAAATCAATTTTATTCCAAACCAATTGAAACTACAAATATTAAATTATTAATTAATTAATTACTTTTTTATATTATCACTTATAGTGAACAACAAATCATTATTTACACATTTTTCATTGAAAGTATTATAAACTAAGTTTATAAATTTATAATACTTTCAATGAAAAATGTGTAAATATTAATATAAGGTGATGGATATTAAAACCCATAAGTCCATTTAAGTTTCATAAAGCCCATTTAACTTTACTTCTTCAAAGCTCTAAGAGAAACCATCCTCTAGCTTGAAGCAAACGAAAAGCTTTTGACGAAGAAGACGAAGCCAAGAAGATGTTCAGGAACCAGTACGACACAGATGTGACTACATGGTCACCAACAGGTCGACTATTCCAAGTCGAATACGCCATGGAAGCTGTGAAGCAAGGCTCTGCCGCAATCGGACTCAGATCTCGCTCACATGTCGTCCTCGCTTGTGTCAACAAAGCACAATCAGAGCTCTCTTCTCATCAAAGGAAGATCTTTAAAGTTGATGATCATATTGGTGTTGCTATTGCTGGTCTAACTGCTGATGGTCGTGTTCTCTCTCGTTATATGAGATCTGAGTCTATTAATCACTCTTTTACTTATGAGTCTCCTCTTCCTGTTGGTCGTCTTGTTGTTCATCTTGCTGATAAAGCTCAGGTAAATTGAGATTTTTGGGTTGGCTTTGGAATTTTGACCTAGAATTCATTAAAGGGTTTAGTTTTAAGATGTGTGAGTATGTGAAAGTTTGAAGCTTTATGAAATTGGAGTAAAGTTTGTGATTTATTAGCAATGTGGCCAGCAATTTGACCAATTTTGTCAGTAAAATGTGTATGTGTTTATGCAAGTAGTGTTATTGGTTTGAGAACCAAGTCTTAGTGATTGGGAATTAGAGCTTCTTGTGTTGTAATCACTTCCAGTTCTCTTGCAGGTTGCTTAATTCAATAAGAAATAGTTAACCTCTAACTAGAAAATGCCTAAAAATTATCCACTTTGGTGATAGAATTGTATAAGAATGTGTTGATTTTGGTTCTTTAGTTGTTTATGTGATGTCATCGTCTGTTCTCTTTGCTTGATAGAGTTTTTATAGTTTGCATTCTAGAATGGATATACGACTTTGTTGATCTCTTTTTGGTTTCGTGGTTTTGACTTGAATTACTTAGCATTTGTTGACTTACTTGTAAGTGTAAGTGTGTCCTCGTCGCTTTCTTTACTTGCCTAATGAATAATTTGTTTAGTAAGATGTAGTTTCACAGTTGCCGTAGAACTTTGTGTTACATGTTCACTACTTTTGGTGTTAAACGTAGTGTTCTTATGTTAGATGATGTATTCACAACTTTTAAAGGTTTTGCTTGCTACATCCCACTTATTGTCATGTCTTTCAAACATTAAGTTAGCTGCTGTATCGACATTTTCTATTATGGGAAGAACCCTCGTAATGATATCAGTCTTGTAGTTTGAACAACACTCTGATTTTCATTCATTGGTGAATTCATTTCCTCGTCTTGTATTTATCCTTTTCATATTTCTCCTTGCGCAGGTATGTACCCAACGGTCATGGAAACGGCCTTATGGTGTTGGTTTGCTGGTAGGTGGATTGGACGAGTCAGGAGCCCATCTCTACTACAACTGCCCAAGCGGAAACTACTTTGAATATCAAGCATTTGCTATCGGGTCTCGTTCACAAGCTGCGAAAACATATCTGGAACGCAGATTCGAGAGCTTCCAAGAATCATCAAGAGAAGATCTGATAAAAGATGCTATTATGGCCATAAGGGAAACATTGCAAGGGGAAACACTGAAGAGCTCTCTCTGCACGGTTTCTGTTCTAGGAGTCGATGAAGCCTTCCATTTCTTGGACCAGGAAAGCATACAAAAGGTGATTGATACGTTTGAGAAGGTTCCCGAGGAAGAGGAGGATGCTGGTGAGGGTGACGCTGAGCCCGAGGCTGCTACTGGTGCTGCTGGAACTGGGGAACAAGGTGGTTCAGGTGATCAAGATGTTGCACCAATGGAAATATGAGCAAGTGAGAGAATACGTTAAAAGTTGGATTTTCAAATCAACTTTCTTGTGTTTAGCTCTTTGTCTGTTCCAAGTATTGTGGTTTTTACTCAGCTTTTTTATTTTAATAGCTTGGGACATAAGCCTATTTAACTCCAATTACAAGTAGTTACTGATTGCCACTAGCTTATATTTAGTCCTATTTAAGTCAAATTTGTCACATAATAATCGCCAACCTAAAGAATGTATCAAATAAAGACCATTTCAAATGATTGGAGAAACAGCAGAGAAAGAATGAAAGATTAATGCAACTATGTTTCTCTTTCTGCAATTGTTCCTCGAAGAAATGACTTCATAATGCAACGGTACATTATTGAGCAAGGATGATAAATCTCCTGCTTGCTCGGAAGAAAAGTGAAAACCAAAATAATCTCTCTCTTGACCTTCCAGAGAATCAATCCTGTCTTGAAATGATTTCAACACACAAAAACAACCTGATACTGGAATTAGAAGTACTGAGTACTTGGAACCTTGGCGACGGGTTTACCACCTGGTAAGACATTGTCGGGAAGAATCAACTCGGGTGGGGTTTCACGGGTAATTCCAAGCATTGAATCGTAATCCTCGTCCTTGCGTGCATACTTCTTCCTGAGCGCTCTCTCAACCTCGATCTGATCAAATGACTTTGAATTCTCTGAGGCGTGAATCTGTGCAAGATTGATGTAGTTCTTTGCTGACTGTGAGATGTATACTATCTCTTCATCTGTTAACTTTCTCATGAACTTTGCTGGATTTCCTCCCCACACCTGCCACATGAAACTGATAACTTGTAGATATGTCCTTGTAAAATATATTCGCAAGTCGACGGTTGAAGACAATAGTTCAAGAGAATGGCAATACAAGAAATCCGTCTAATTCCTCATCAAACAAATGGAAATACAAGTAGAATTCTCTATTACTCAACTCACCCTTGTTTCAGATACAAGTAGAATTCCCACTGAGGCAAAGGTGGTTCTCAGATTTAGATGAAATAAAATAGGATTCACAGGCATCTCATTTCAGTAACTAATTATAATGTATCAACCAAATTGTAAGCAAAGACACAGTGGGTCTACTAGAAGAAGTTCAGCTGGTCAAGCCTTAGCTATAGGTCAGCCTAGGACTAAATACAGCAGACTACAACTGGCGTTGCATGGTTAAACAGGAGTTTGTGGCTCTGGGTTTATAAAGGGGGCTTTTAGGCTTGGTAGACTTCTAGGTTCTTGATAACAAAACCTAGGGTTCTGTTTTTGATCCTTTGGTTATACTTCAATTTAGAGATAAATAAAGCAGTTGAAACGGTTCCAGTCTTATCACAAACTCAGTAAGCAGTAAACCACAAACGAAAAAGGTGAAAAGAAAGAAACCTCTCCAGAAGGGATTCGCGTGTTCTGTTTCACAAGGGAACCAGCAGCAACCATGGCATGTTTCTCAACCACCACACCATCAAGTAGTGTAGCTCCCATTCCAACAAAAGCCTCATCCTCAACAGTACACCCATGAATGACAGCACTATGACCTGCTCAATTTCATTTTACAAACAAAACATTTAACTAACAATCATGTAACACAACATAAAACAGATACTTTTAAAACTGACAAATCACTTTTTAAAGTTTACCTACTGTTACATTGTCCCCAATTAAAGTAGGTAGAACCTTGCCACTTATGTTGGTTTTCGCAACATGTACAAGCGTATTGTCTTGGATATTCGTCCCGGATCCAACACTGATGTTATTCACATCACCTACACAAGTTAAAACCCCAAATCAATATACAACAACGTCTCCAGCTACTTCATCAAGTCTAAGAACCAAGAATTTCCGGCGAAAACTAACAAAGATGATCGGTACGGTTATCGATAACATAGCAAAATCAAGATTAGAAGGCAAAGAGAAACTTCATTTCCTCTCACCTCGAAGAACACAACCATACCAAATGGAGGAGCCTTTTCCGATCTGAACATCACCAATAACAGAAGCACTCGGAGCAACAAACACATCTTTATCAACCAATGGAGATTTATCAAACACATTCATCAACGTCCGATGCCTCGACACTGAAAAACAAACAAACACAAATCTCTCAAATCAATCTAAACCACAAATTTCTCCAAATCAAATGATTTTTTTCCGGTGAAGATACAAATTAGAGATATAGAATTGGATCTAGGGTTGAAGAGAGTGTAGGAAGAGGAAGGATCTGGAAGCTTACGATGTTCCTCGATGCGGTGGCTTCCTTGAAGAAGAGAACCAACGCGATCAAGAGCTTGACCAGTTCCACGAATCCAGTTACCCACAGTGTAAATTGCTCGTCCTAGGGTTCCCATTTTTGTGATTCTCCGATGATTACACAAAAGAGACGATTGTGTGAAAATGACAAGGCTATTGTTTTTGGTGTCGAGAGAGGTTTATGGGAGGCGTTTGGATGGAATGGAAGGATTTTTTTTTTTTACTCAAGTGAGTTCGTTTGTTTTGTTGACCTCTAGAATTTTTTAGAGTATGGAGTGGTAAGCTAAACCAAGCCAAATCGAATTGAGCCAAACCAAATCGGATTGGTTGGTCATAGACTAGTTGCAACATTAAATTTTTATGTTTTTTTTTTTAAGTAAATACACAATCAATACAATAAAAACACTAAGAATCTCTCCAGATCTGACATCTCAGCATTTTGGGTTGTTCTCAGCATGGCACATCATTAAAATCATCATCCAATGAAAACATTTCGATTAATACAGCTCAGCTTTATTGTCCAGTAAGAATCCTTTCTCCTTCCACGTCACTCTCTAAAACAATTTTTTCATGGGTTTGCAATTAGATTCAAAGATAAACAAAAAGTATTACAGGCCCAACCAGGCCAGAGTTTGTTGGATCAAGCCCAATACATATTGAAAATAGACACAATAATTAAACCAGCTAATATTAAACCACAATTACGAAAGAGAAAATATTGAACCGGATCTGTAGTCAGAATAATTGGAAATATGAACCAATGGGAGAGATGAAGAGACGGGAGACAAGACAAAGTCGATACGCACGACTGAGGAGGAAGTATGAGGCTCGATGAGGTCGATTGAGATTGAGAGTGTAAGGAGGTTTTGAGCGGAAGGATTGACGATGGAGTCGGTGATTTCGATCTGTCCAAATTATCTAAATGATGTACTGCCACGCCAATTTTGTAAGTCTCTTGTTATCTTCTGGATAAGATAGTGATTGCATAGCCTGTAGACAATTGGTAAAAGGGAGATGGGGCTGACTTTGGCATCTTCCTGCTATAAATCTCCATATCGACCAACTATAGCTACATTGGAAGAAAAAGTGGTCAGGGCTTTTAGTATCAGTATATTTATCATGTTTTTCAATGTTACACTCGCAACTTTATCCAGTTGAAAACCTCATATTTTGCTTTAAGAATTTTGTTTGCTAACCAAGCATTTCCATTTTAAGAATTTTGATGGATTGCCCATGTGATTCTGATACAATTCGTATTCCACCAAGCAAGTAACAATATATACACACACAGCATATTTTTGTATGTTTTTAAATACATTTTGAGACTTGTCATATTTTTTATATACTATCATATGATACATGCACCAACCACATCGATCATTTCATCTCACATATATGCATTATTATGCCCTCAAATTCACTTTTGTTTCACCTTAAACTCATCAGGGACTATTGGTTCATACCCACTGATGATGGAAGTGCTGGCCAGATTATGGGTACACGTTTCACTACTGAGATCGCTTCGTTCCATCGCGCAGCATGATTGGTCACCTTCTGCAGAAGTATTTCATTCAAAAGACAGACAAAAAGGAATCAGATTGTGAAAATGTCATGTTCTGAAATACTCACAAACTTTTGTTCTTTATTTCCATAAGTGAAGGATGAGTAAAGTCAAGCAACAACATGAATTTCAGCAGCAAAAGTAAGATCTGCCATGTTATTTGAAAAGGTAAGCAGGATTCAAACTCGGGTCCTTCTTGAGGCTTTGTACAATTGAAAGACCGGTTAAACTACAATTTCAGGTTTCACCACTACTTCTAACCTTCTCATAGAAACATAATATTTAAAACCCAAAATATATATATCAACCTCCATCTCTTACTACCAATTTTATTTAGCTACTTATAAATAGTTTGATGGATTCAAATCTATGTACGACCATGTGGAGAAATGGGCTGAAGTAGCAAGGAAAGGGACTGCTTCAATTAAAGGCATTGAAACCAAACTACAATATTGAATTACTTATTTTCCAGATGAACTTTGCATTGTTGATCGCATAAGTGGCTTTATGTTTTTTTAGTCATAAGCTATGTGAAAGGTATATAAGTGGCTACAAAGTCTTTAACACTTGGATTTTGAGTCAAAAAAATAGTTTGGATATTTGGAAGAAAGGATAAGACATTCTAATATAGATTCCAACATCTTTGTGCTATTGCCATTTCTAAGTTTATTAATTTTGGATTCTTGACTGATTATGTCCTTTGTTTTACAATAGTTTGGATATTTGGAAGAAAGGATAAGACATTCTAATATAGATTCCAACATCTTTGAGCTACTGACTTTGTCTTGGTTGTTTAGTTTGTTTTAGGCATTGCGTTTTCTGCTTTAGTAGTTTGATTTGGCGAAAGGACAAGTTTATGTAGAATTTCCTATTAGTATTTACGACGTCCATGTGTTAACACATTGTATGACGTTAACGTTGCATTGTTAGTTTCTCTTTTCCATGGCACATTGTATAACTCCAAAACACTCAAATAGTCAAATCACAACAAACCATTAGCATTAGGCAGTCCCCTATAAATTATAGAAACCAATTATAATAAAATAGTAAAATAAAAAAAAAAATACTAAAATCGAAGCAAAGACAAAATAATAAATCCTAGAAACCAATTATACTTATATCAAAACAAAATCAATTTAGAACAAATATCCCGCGGCATAGCGCGGGTTTTTTCTCTAGTAAATGTTAAAAGTTCTAACTTTGTAAATGTATTTCGTTTCTCGATTTAACGTCGTGCCTCAAATGATATAGTTTTTCTAGACCTAGGGTTTCATTTTTTCGAGCTTCATTTTCGGCGGCGGATCTACAAAAGAGGTACAGTTCTAGGATAATGAGAAGGTTGCATTGGATCATTCTCTATGAGAAATTTGGAGCTCGCAATGTGAGGACTTAATGTTCATAAAACCATCTAACATTGGTCAAGCACAATCCTTCATGATGAGTTGATGACCATCTATTGGCTATTGGCTTGTGTCCTACAAAGCTTCTAACGATCATTTCACTAGTTTTGACAGTTGGTAAGGTTATGGTTATGGACTTAGATAATTGGATTTTTTGTGACCTTTTTGTCGCCCTATTAAAAGCTAGTCAACCCATGGACATAGCTAGACTTTTGGTAGCAGATCAGTTTCTTCAAGGGACATACCATACTTGATAAAAATTCAGGTGGTTCCTCCAAAATAGAGCTTTAGGTTTGTGTTCATCTACTACAAGCTTTTAGGTGCACCGTGCACACAAGACTAGTGGAGTGAAAACTTGAATTGATTTGGAGAAAAATATACCAATTTTCTTGATAACTCTTTATTTTGTTATTCAAGGCTAAGATTCAAATGAGTAGAGTCATTGTTGCCCATAACTTTCAATTACAGTTTTATAGACAACCTCGATCTCGAAATCGGATCCAGAGCTTGCATGTTATTTCCATTATTTCTGCCATGCTAGCTTTGCTTTCATGAAGGCATGATTCATGAAAGATATGAAAAACACATGATGATGTAAAAAAAAAATTGGAAAATGTTTTGATAATTTAGCTAAACATATTGATAGGTCGCCACGACATTCGGATTTAGAATCGGATGATTTTCGGTTTTTTTTTTGGATTTAGATAATTCGGATAGGAGTGTTGGGAATTATGTCCTAAAATCATTTGTATCTTCTTAGATTTTCTTTCGTATTACATTTTCTTCGTGTAAGTCGGCTGCGAGCTTCGTGTGTATTTATTTTCCATGGACCGATTATCAGTTTACTCAATTTAATCAAATTACTTTTAGTTTAAGTCAAGTTTTTCGGAAGGTGCTAAATCTCTCCCCAATAATAACCGTCTTTTTACAACCTCTTAAAAAATCGTTAACCTTTTTTCTGAAAGTGATCACTAATCAAACTCATCAACATCAAGTTCCCGTATTTACTTAGATATGTATAATTCAATTTAACGTACGCAAAAAAAAAAAATCTTATACGTAAAATTTCTTAGTACTATTAATTAATCTAATAATCCATTAATTTCTTTAAAAAATTACTAAAATTTTAAAATACCCCTTCAAAAATCTCAGATTTGGTTCCAATTAATAAACATATTGAAAATCCAGTTGTAATAATAACCCTCTAAAAAGCAAATTTTATCAGCAAATAAATACTTTTCCCAAAAAAATCCTAATTTAAGTAATTTACTAATTTCAATTGAAAAAACATGAGCCGCGCTTAGTCTTTTTCCGTTTTAATAATAATAAAAAAAAAACTATCTGTCTTCTCTTTTTCTTCTTCTTCTTCTCCTTCCTCCAAATTATTGCGGTTACTGTCGTCTTCCTCCTTCCTCCTCTCCGGAATCGAAGCTCACGACGGCGACGGTAACTGCATCGGAGAGAGGTGGTTGTGGTTCGTTTTTACCTACATTTCGAGAACACAAGGCTTTTAATTTCAAATTCATCTGTGAATTCTTCTTCTTCTTCTTCATCGGAAGAAGAATCCACAAACTTATCTCATCTGCAAAAAATTAATTGTGCTTCCCCATGGATTTGTCGCTTTTGTTGGTACATTAATCCTCTCTCTTTCTCGTTTCTCGATGTTTTTTGTTTATTTAAAACTTTTTCGAACTCTTCACGATATTGCCGGAGAAGCCGGATCCATGCTCTTTTCATGATTTTGCTTTCTTCAACTTTCTCTAGAAATTGGAGATTATTTTTCTTCCTTCGATGCATTTTGAATAATCTGAGACATTTCTGTTGATTTGCTTGTTCATCAGCCATAACAGAGCTGGGAAATTTCTGGGGGAGCAGATAAATTCAGGTACAATTTAGGTTTTTTTTGTTTGGTTTCAATCCGTGTTCAAAAAATCGCTAGGCGCTAGTCCGGTGGTGAGGGTGGCTAGGGGTTTCAATAAATAAATTGTTTGTTTGTTTGTAGCAGAGTAGCAATGTCATTGAAGAATATAGTAAAAGAGTTTAGGGTGAAGAACAAATGCAAAGCAATTGGTAGACGAGGGAGGTCACATATTGCACCAGAAGGATCATCAGTGTCTTCTTCTTTATCAACTAATGAAAGTTTAAATCAGAGTATTTGGGTTGATTTGCCTCCAGAGTTACTTCTTGATATAATCCATAGGATTGAGTCTGGACAGACTTTATGGCCTGCGAGGAGAGATGTCGTTGCTTGTGCTTCGGTTTGTAGGTCTTGGAGGGAGATGACTAAAGAAGTTGTTAAAGTTCCTGAGGTCTCTGGTTTGCTTACGTTTCCGATTTCTTTAAGACAGGTTTGTTAGTCTTTAAACTCTAGAAAGATTAGTGTTTTCGTGTGATTGATTGTTGTTGTCTATAACATTGGATTCTTTTGGCTTAGCCTGGTCCTAGAGATGATCCAATTCAATGCTTTATTAAACGGGAAAGAGCTACGGGGATATACCGTCTCTATCTTGGTTTAAGCCCTGGTTAGTTTACTATATCTATCAGCTTCTTGTGAATTGAGTTTTTTGGACTATATTATGTATCACCTTCGTCTGTTATAATTGCAGCTCTTTCTGGTGATAAGAGTAAGCTGTTGTTATCTGCAAAGAGAGTCAGGAGAGCGACGGGTGCGGAGTTTGTTGTATCCTTATCGGGAAATGACTTCTCAAGAAGTAGTAGTAATTACATAGGAAAACTGAGGTAAAGTCTTGTTTTTTCTTCATCTTATTCTTTGTTCTGTATGATGACCATGTCCATTTATTGTAAGTCTTTGTTGTGTGTGGACAGATCCAATTTCCTGGGAACCAAGTTCACAGTCTACGAAAACCAACCTCCTCCGTTTAACCGGAAACTCCCACCATCAATGCAAGTGTCTCCATGGGTATCGTCGTCATCTAGTAGTTACAACATAGCTTCCATCTTGTATGAGCTGAATGTTCTAAGAACCAGAGGTCCAAGAAGAATGCAATGTATAATGCACAGTATCCCGATTTCGGCAATTCAAGAAGGCGGCAAAATCCAGTCGCCAACCGACTTCATAAACCAAGGAAAGAAGAAGAAGAAGCAGCTGATGGATTTCTGCTCAGGGAACCTGGGAGGAGAATCTATTGTAAAAGAACCATTAATTCTGAAAAACAAATCTCCGAGATGGCACGAACAGCTCCAATGCTGGTGTCTCAACTTCAAAGGTCGAGTCACAGTTGCCTCGGTGAAAAACTTCCAGCTAGTGGCAGCTGCTGCAGAAGCAGGGAAGAACATGAACATTCCAGAAGAGGAACAAGAGAGAGTGATATTACAGTTTGGGAAGATAGGCAAAGACATTTTCACAATGGATTATCGTTACCCGATCTCTGCATTCCAAGCTTTTGCCATTTGTTTAAGCAGCTTCGACACGAAGCCGGTCTGCGAATGAAGCAAATATATCATATCAATTATATTCTTCTATTTGCAGTTTGTGTGGTTTAATCAATGTACATACTTTTCCCTCTTGGAGCAATCAAACAATCAGATCTTTTTCATTCTAACTTTAATTTCTTCTTAAGTTTAATTAAAAAGTAATTAACTTTTGGTTTAGGCAAGGTATGTTTTAGTCTTTCATTGGAAGCAAAGAGTCATCACCTTCCATTATTACAAAACCCAATCCATGTTTATGTCTCTGTTTCATTTATTTTTCGATAAAACAACATTTTAAACCTATTAAGATAAAAGAATGAAAGCTTTTGTGAGAGGTTTATTAGCAAGAGCTAATGAGGTCCCAAAGATTCATCAGAGGAAGGTATCGGCCGGTTTTGGTTGCGTAACTTCGCCTCCGCCGCCGGAGAAAGGATTGGAGAATCTGACGGTGGCGGACGTACTCTCCACAAAGGACACTGACGTTGATACGTGGATCTCATGCCGTACGAACGACACTGTTTCTGACGCTGTTAAAAATGTTCGTTAAAACTTCTTTTCTTTTTTCTCCCTTGTCTTTTATTATTTGCTCGTCACGTTATTTACGCATTAATTAGAGGTTAGTACGAGTCACGTTTACGTACTTGCATCAGAATACCCACGAAAACGAGATTTTAATTAGAATTTTTCTGATATATATCGATTTATGCTGCCCATAAGTCTACAGATCTTGAACTGAAAACTTTACATGGACTTATACAAGAACTGTTTTATTTACTTATTAATGTTAGGTTCGTTGCCTAGTCCACGTTGTTCTGTGTCCCAGCTAATAAAACGTGGTTAATTTCCACATTCGGTGTCATGCATACACGTATACATATGTCAAATTGTCAATCGGACCAATGTCTTTGAGATCTATTTCTATTTTATGTATAATAACTATTAATAAGTAATGCACACATATTTGTATTTTATGTCATGCATAAGAAATATTCGTAGATCGATCACTAATCTCGTTGGTCGTGTTAAAAACAAACAAAAAGCAGATGGCAAAGCATAATATTGGATCGTTGGTCGTGTTAAAACCTGGAGACCAACAATATATCGCAGGAATTGTCACAGAGAGAGGTATATAAGCTTTCTTTAATAATGTTACTTTCTACGGATCATAAGACACAATTTATTAGAAAGGGTTCTTCGTTTAGTGATGATATATGTGACTAAAAATCATCACAAAATGAAACAGACTATATGAAAAAGATCATTGGGGCAGGAAGATCATCAAAGCTTACAAAAGTTAAAGAAGTTATGACAGACGAGGTCAGAATAAACAAAGGATAAAACTCTCATGTTAATTTTCATTTTGGAAATTTTCATTTATCCACTTAATTTTAAATAAAAGAATTGGAAATGATTTTGGCCAGAGCAAGTTGGTTACTGTTTCATCTGGGACAAACATAATCAAAGCAATGCAGCTTATGTCAGGTAGTTTACTATAGATACATATTATATATCCGTATATATATTGAATCTAAAATGTAAATTATGTTTTAAAATTGACTAAAAAGAAAATTGTGTGTTACGTTTAAAATGATGTAGAGAATCACATAAGGCATGTACCGGTGATTGACGGAAAGATAGTGGGACTGATCTCAATGGTTGATGTGGTTAGAGCCATTGTGGACCATCAAAATGGAGAGCTCAAACGCTTGAATGAATTCATCAAAGGAGACTATTATTAGTTTAGAATCCACATAAGAAAATAGAATGCTTCCATATTACTATCAATTATTATGTAACTACTATCAATAATTTCAAAGCACTTACGACTGAAAATGGACTAATTAAATTATTTAACATATTTCAATCTCCGGTCTAAAATGTTCTATAGCTGACCAAAACCAAAGAATACCATTTCAATTTTGGTTCGGTTCCATCCAACTATCCGCATTTTAAATGGGCGGATTCATTACTGGGCTTAAAGCCCAATGGGCTTAATTTTAATAATTACAGTGTTTAATTTTATTTTTTCTGGTCTAAGGGTTTTTGCCATTTCTCTCGTCTCTCAATCTACGATTCGCCATTTCTCTAGTCTCGTCTCTCAGAAATCGTTGATTCATCTTCTACCTTACACTGTGAGTTCTTCGTCTCCAATTGTCTATGAGTTGATTTGTGTTTGATTCGTTTTTCTTCGATTCTGCGATTTGATTTGACTAAATTAGGTTCGATTTCGTTCTTTGTTCGGATCTGAGACAGTTTTATATGTTCGATTTTGCTTTCATTTAGGCTTTGATCCTGTAAATCAAGCTCGAGCTTGCGTCTTTAGGTTTTTGTCTTCGTTTGTTTTTTATGCTCTTAAGAATTCACTTCGTCTGGTTCTACAATTTTAGAGACTATTTGTTCATATTTGATGAATTTTCAGATTTTGGAATCTTTTCTCTGCAAATCTTTGTTTGATTAGTCACTTAACCTGTAATTGATTAGTAACAACATTGTACAAACCTCTCTCAGTTGTCATATAAATGTGTAATTGTGTTAGTGTTTCGTGGGTTAATCTCTCTGGTATCTTTGTTAAATGCCTAGGATTGAATCCGTCGATGTAAAATGTGATTTACGAGCGTATTCAGGATAAGTTCAGAGTAGCTTTGTGGGAAACTTGTTATGATGCAGCAGATTGATTGATTCTTTGTTTTTTGGTTTCTGGTTCTTTAGTTAGTTGAGGGAGCTATTATGGGGAGAAAGGCTGGAAATTTGTACATAAACCCGAAAAAGCTCGGGAATCTGGCGAAACCGTGCATGAAGGAAATGGTGTCGTTCTTGAACTGTATGGCGCTTAACAATATCAAAGATGATAAATGTGAGAAACAGAAGCAACTCCTGAGTGTTTGTATGCAGGGCCAGGTTAATATCTTTGCATTTTGCTACTGCGTTTTATACTTTTATTTGTCGCTGCCTTTTGCGAAATGATGATCTTTGTTTTGTTTTCTTGAAACCCTTTGTTTTGCAGTCGGATCATAAGAACAAGTCTTGGGGTAACATTAACTACCATTTGCAGAGGCTAACCCGTGGAAGAAAGTAATCTAAGCATGGATCTTGTTATCGATAGACCGATAGATTATTCCGTGGTTGATCTCTTCATTTGTCTCTCTGTTCTTTGACGTATTTCATACGTACAAGTTACTGGCATGTAGAAGAACTTTTGGACACATTGTTCATCGAGAGAAAGGATTTTTGGTCTCTCTGTTTTGCAATAAATATATCTTCTGGGTAAAGGCAGAGAGTTCCATTAGTGATAATGATGTTTTGGCGTACGATTATGCTTTGTTTAGTTGAAATTAGAAAGGAGATGTACCAAATTGCAATTAAAACATTGATTATAAGAATAAGAGTATAAGAATCATGGAATAAGAAAGTTATCGTTGCTAAAATGTACATTAAAGCTCTTAGGATTTAAGTTGATTTTTTTTTTCTCAACTTGAATTACATGTTAGCATTACTGGAAAAAGTTTTATACAATAAGAGTTTCAAACTTTCAATAAGGTACACTACAAGTGAATGCAACAGAATTGTTTACATATTTTTTCTTGACAAACATTTATGCATATTGTTAAGATAAATGTTTACTAAAAGCTTTCGATAATTTTCACTCTGAACCGGGTGTTTTCACTAAACCGCCAGGATGCCTAAAAAAACATAAAATGAAAAAAGGTTAGTGAATAGTGATAGTACAAATGATATCGATAAATGGTATCGAGAATAGTCCATCAGATCAACCAAGCTTTGACATCATTTTAGAAAATATCTATATATACATTTTTGGAGTACACTTAGTAAATAAATCCTGGAGTTTGAAAGTATTTACGAAGCAATGCCACTGGCATTAATTATTTAATTTCGAAAATTCAAATCAAAGATATTAATCACCAAAAAAATCTTAACATAATATCTTAACCATAACTAATGCTTTCCATAATATCGTAAAGATATTAATTAATTTTGACAAACCAATTTTTTTTAAGTAATTCATTTTTTAAATATATTTATTTTAATGTACATTAATTAAATTATGGTTACTATTCGTTATTTGACAAACTCATTTTGCTATATCTATATATACATTTTTGAAGTACATTTAGCAAATAAATCCTGAAGTTGAGAAGTATTTACAATAGAATGTCATTATCATAAATGTTTATATATTAATTAATATTACAAAATCTTTTCAAAAAATTTTTTTAGAAACTGTGACTTCTAAATATGGTAATAAATTGATTTTGTTTCTAAATTTTCGTAAAACATCTCTACCAAATTTAAACATTAATATATAATTCTTTTTTCACTTTTATATGATCTTATAGTAATTTATTTTGAATTTATATAAAATACATATAATTAATAAAATAATAAATTTTTCTGCATATAATGTGATTCAAATTTTAAAAAACGGACATATAATACAGAATCGATGAAGAAAAAATATGTGTACAATGTCCCATATTGCTTAAAAAATTGGACAATGGTTCAGAATCATACTATAAAAAGGACCAAAATGATTCTGAATACAAAACGGGGTTATATAATGGGACGGGTTTGAGTCGATATTATCATATTAATACGTAACGGTCTACCACGGGTGAAACCTAGAATTAAAAATAAAAATATAATCTTAAATATTAAACAAACCAAACAATATTAACAAAAAAAATATAACTTAAAATTTAAAAATTTTAGCTTAAAAAAAATCGACCTGCAATATATCGCGGGGTAAATTTTTTTGATATAAAATAATATCAAATTATTATAATAGTCCATGATTATAAATACTTGCCAATATTAACACTATATCATTTGTACACCTACAAATCTTCTAAGTACACATATTTCAACTATATTAATTATAATATAAAATAACTAAATGAGATTTTTTTATAATATTAATTTTAAAATATAATAAATTATAAATTATTATATAAAATACATAAAATACAATTTTGCTCTGCAGTGTACCGCGGGTTAAATCCTAGTGAGTTTTTAAATTTAAAACCAATTGATAATATCTATTTTCATTTTCAATGTGCATTCTAAATAGTGATACAAAAATGTTTTTTTTTTGTTGTTGTTGAAAAAAGTGATTATGGTATTATTACAAACGGTTTTATAATAAAATAAGAAGTAAATAGAACCTGTTTTTAATTGTCTTATAATCATTATATATGTGAAAACTATATCAGTCAAAATATTTTTGCAATGTGGACCATTCTTCTGTTCCACCATTCATCAAAAAAATCAGTCAATGGCTATGAATGGCAATAGAATTTAAAACTGGTTTTTAGTTTTGGCTTGTGGATTTTGATTTATTTTTTGCTATAAATTAAAAAACAAATAAATCAAAAATCAAAACTAATGTCGGTGGAGAAAAAGAAAAAGGCTTCTGACAAAAAATCTTCAAAATTATGGTTTTAGTTTTTCTTTGATACTTGGCTGAACCACTCAAAAAATATTTTTCCTACACTTTAAAAAAACTATTAAATGGTGAGAAAATAGATTTTTAAAGAAACATGACAAATAATTGCCTTGATTGAATGTGAAAGAAATTGTAATAATCACAGATAGCCATTTTTTTTGTCATTAAACGAGCAACAATAAATAGTTGATATTTTGGAGCCCTAATATAAAAAACGAAATTCCTTTACGATTCAAAAATCATACATTACATGAACATGATCATAAATTTTGACGTTAAAGAGTAAACAAATAAGAATAAAAATTACCTGATTTTGCTTGTAGCCCAATCAGCCCATGACTTGGCCCCTTGAGCAGCTTCTCCGGCGCTACTTTTGAAACTCGAAGCGGCAGCCTCCGCCGCAAGAGTTACCTCATTGGCCGTCACTTTCACCGGTAACTCTTCCGCCGAAACCATTGTCATAATCATTGTCACCATAAAGATTATCGCAAAGAATTTTACTTTTTCCATTTTTGCTTGCACGATTTGCACCTATTAAAAATTTAGAAAATTATTACTATTGATTATGATTTTTGTTTTAAGACAAAAAATTTGTTAGATTGATTTGTCTCCTATATGACAAAGGAAGTGTACTATTTATAGGGATATAAGAGCGACTTAAAAGGCAAAAAGATCGGAACACAGTTTTATTGTTAATAATATTTTTGATTTACCTAAAATTTGAATGTATGTATGTTTTCAGTGTTTTAATTTCTTTATTTTTTACCAATAATATTGATAGATTTTCATGTCTTATCCTAATACCATCACTCGTGTCCCTTACCGTTAATCCCTTCCCATCTTTTTTTTTTTTTTTAAATCTTTGTTCTTTCCCAAGCTCCCGACACTAATTTCATGTCTCGGACCACCGTAAGTGACGGGGTACGGTTAGTATTTAATTTATTTTTATTGGTTGATAATTACCCCATTTTTAGAAGTTTGCTTTAGTCTGTTGGTTATTTACCAAAGCATTTGCTTTGGGCCACAAAATATAATTAAAACGTTAGGGCAACATATGTTAGAAGTTTCCTTTAGTCTGTTGGTTATTTACCCCATTTTTGTGTCACATGTGGGTGGGTTCGAGTCTTAACTTCTACACTTTTTGTTTCTCTTTTTTTTTTCCCTTTGTTTTGGTCGGTTCTCTTTTTTTTTCTGATTACCACGTGTTTTATTCTTTCTATTTTGTGGAGTGGGAGAAAATTGTTATTTATTTATTATAATTTGGCTACTAAGTCTTATAATATTCTTAATTTTTTCAAACAAAACTGAACTTTTATATATATTTTAGTATTTAAATGACAAATTTTTAACATTAATTTTTATATAAAAAAATATATTATTTAAGTATGCTTTAGGCCACCAAAATCCGAGGACCGGCCCTGTTGATAAAGTATCGAGGTTAGTTGTTCTAGAGAGAATGGCGACACAATCATCTCCGGTGCCTGTGTGAATGCTTGAAATGTGGATGATACTTGAGAAACCCATTTTAATCTCATTGGTGTTGGGGCTATCGCCTGGAGCCGTTATACAGATTCCGATAATGTTGAAGAGATGGACGGAAAAAAAGTAGAAGTGTCCCATATTGCTTTTGAGTGATTTTATTCTTTGCACACCCGAGTCATTAACAAATGCAAACCCCATGGCCTATAAAAAAATTAAAAGACTCCAGAGGAATAAGAGGGTTCCAGAAGTAGACTCACTTATGATGAATATAATCAAGATTAGAAAGCACTAGGTATATTTCTATATTAGAGCATGTCCAAAGGTGGGCTCTTAGTTGGACTCTTAAGTGTATTTGTGTAAAAAAATAAATACAAAATTGGGCTTAATACTAAGAGTTGTCTCTTATATAAGAGACTCAAGCCATGCTAAGAGACGGTAACGTGGCGTCCTGTGAGTGGACAATGGGGAAAATATTAAACCGAAAATAAATCGATCCCATGTTTCTCTCTCTTCCTCCTCTCTCTCTTTTACGCTTACTCTTCGACTGCGAACTGGAAGCGATTCGACTCAAATCGGGAACAATCGAAGGAGACTCCGATTATTGTGATCTCCGACTCAAATATTAATCCAAAATTTCTTTCTTTTTGTCTAGTTTTATACCTTAAACACTTTGCTAGATATATGTTGTAACCAAATTTTTAAAGACCAAAACACTTCAAATCTCGTAACTTTGAAATCTCGTAAATATGATGGCCACTAGAATTCGACTTTGTGATCGAACTATGCATCAACAATTGAAATCTGATTTAGTTAAACACATATGGACAAAATTTGGCAACAATCAAGTATGTTGTAAATTGTTTATCATGTATGTTTCAAATTCTATCATTTGCAATAATTATTAAGTTTTCTAAAATTAAAATTGTTTCTTTTATTTTTTTTTAAATTATTGTTTTTTTCTCTAAGAACCACAACTTAAGAGTATACCATTGGACATACAAAAAATTTAAAACCATTACACAACCTCTTAATTATAAATTTTTCAAAATTAATTTTAAAACAAATCATAAGAACAAAATTAAGAGACTACCATTGATGATGATCTTAGTATATATTGTTTCTTTTGAAACTATTTTCATCTTCATAGTTTATTTTATTTTATACAGTTTAACACTAAGTGGGTGATTGGTTGGGCTGTACCTACAAATTAATTGCTGTAAGATTTTGGTTGTAGCTGTGTTAACTGTAGCTGTAGATTTATTTGATGTAGATATGTTAGCTGTAGCTGTAGGATTTTTGTAAAACAAATTATGATTGGTAAAT